TTTATTATTTATTTTTAATCAAAAAAACTTGGTTCAAACATTTATTTTAAACATTATCTTTAATATGAACACATCATGTGTTGGGAGTTTGGGATCCCTTTAAGGATTAGATATCCTCTAATGTTTGATGCGTGGACCATATTCGAAATATGATTATTGTAATTTAACTAGGAATCCATGGTCACACCAAGATCTTTTGGGTATGTAGACCAAGTTAAATTATGATCTCCTAATTGATAGTTGTAATTTATATCTTTATAAAATGAAGTAGGTGCTATTCTATGAGTAGCACTTATCATTAGCTACTTTTAACTGACCAGAGATAAAATTTATAAAAGGCTACAGCAAGATCGTGACTGAAATCGGTATCCTTAAATGAACTATATAGCTTGATATCTTCAGCATATAACATTAGTGAGCAATTAAGATCTTTTACTATAGAGGGTAGATCATTAATATATAACAAGAATAATGTTGGACTCAAAAGGCTGCCCTGTGGAACTCCACTTAGGATGCTGGTCAGATTAGATAGTGAATTTCCAACCAGAACCCTGTGATATCTGTTAGAAAGAAATGCTGATATCCAATGAAGCAAATTATCTATTATGCCGTACATTGCAAGTTTTTTTAAAAAGTTTTGGATGAGGTACAGAGTCAAATCCTTTTTGAAAATCAATGTTCACCACGTCAGTAATTAAATTGCTGCCTAAAGCTTTATTCCAGTCATTATTTGACTCTAGCAGATTTGAGCACGTAAATCTTTTGGATAAAAAGCAGTGTTGATTAGGTGTTATTATATTATTTTTATTAAGATAATCGGTTATACTTGAACAACCAATACTTTCCATGACACGACAGCTAGTAGATATGAGGAAGACAGGTCTACAATTGTTAGCATCTGTAGATTCAATTACTTAATTTATAGCATAAATTCATTTTCCTTCTGGTGTATTTATTTTCAGGTTTTCATTTTGAAATATTAATAAAACGTTCTTTTTACCACTTTTATTTTAATGATTTTATTTTAAATACAAATAAAACATTCTCTTTGCCGTTTTTATTTTATTTAGAATTAAATTAAAACTTTGCTTTATAAAAAAAAAAAATTATTTAGAATTCAAATAGGTTTTTATCTCAATCACTATACTTAAAATATAAATTAATTTTTGTTTTGCCGTTTCAAATTTAACTATTCTATTTAATTATTATAAATAACTTTGATGTTAATTTAATATTTTTAAAATTTTCTGCATTTTAAATGTTTTTGTATTAAGTATTATAAAAGTTTGACTAGCAATTACTGCCGATCAAATTGGTTTGGCCAGATTCTCTTCCGCAGCGCTCTGTGATAAGACCTCTTAAACTTCTTAGGACGCAGAAAATAAAATTTAAAAAGAACACAAGATATCCCTTATTTACTGTTGATACCATTAGTATCGGTTTGATACTAAACAATACCAAGAAGTATCATACCATATGAAAAACAGTTAGATAGTATCGCATAGTCTCGAATCCAGATTATAACTAAGTTTTTATATAAAATTTTTTGGAATTTCTTATCAACAAAATACAAGTTTGACTGCTTTTTAGAAGTTTATTTATCAATCATCGATATTTTTATTTATTAAACCTACTTAATAAATAATCCAACATATTCATTTACAATCTTTTTCATTTTTAATAACATGGCTAATTGTGTTTTTTGGATGAAAACAAGATCTATCTATTTTTTTGTTTAAAAAACAACTGTTTAACTTATAAAACTTGATAAAAGAAATCTGTAGAACCTCCAAACTTAAGGCCAAAGTTATATTATTGAAAAATAAAGTCCACCATGATTTTATGATATTAAATGTTTTGATGTTTTAACAAAATAAATTTGTTCTACTTAACTTTTATTATGTAAATTATCTGACGGACATTAATATGGTGCACCTTGGTAAGATTTATTATTTGACTTTAAAACGGACTTTGAAGTGATTACCTGCCCCTATCGAAGTCCTAGCCCTCGATGTATGTACACTCCCTACATATTCTCCCTAGATAGATATTCAGTCAATATATATCAACAGACTATTTAGAGATATATATACATTATGCATATATATATATATATATATATATATATATATATATATATATATATATACATATGTATATATATATATATATATATATATGTATATATATGTATATATATATATATATATATATATATATATGTGTGTGTATATATATAAATTTATATAATATATACATATATATATATATGCATATATATATATATATGCATATATAAATATATATATATATATATAAAATATATATATTTTTTTTTTTTTTTTTTTTTTTTTTTTTTTTTTTTAACATCTTCACTTCCAACAAGGCTGCAAGCAACCACTATAAGAGTTGGAAGTTACTGGAAGAGAAAAGACTAAATCTGTAGAGCAAGATAACGATTGACTGATGACTTAAAAGATTGCAAATTATATGAATCAGGAAAGCAAGATGAAGGAAGCGAATTCCAAAGAACTGATGTTCGAGGAAAAAAACTAGAAGAATAAGAGTTTTTGAAGCACTTAGGAACAGTCACAGAAAAAGGATGAGACTTAATTGAATGGCGAGTAACACGAGAATGAATTTTAGTAGATGGCACAAGGGACGCTAGCTCTTTAGAGCAGTGCCCATTATAGTATTTGTAGAAAAGAGAAAGAGAAGCAACATTACGACGATGTGACAAAGGTTGGAGATTGGCTGCCAGAGCAGGTCCAACTATGTTTACAATTCGTTTTTGCACCTTGTCTAAAAGAGAAAGAGCATCATTAGAAGATCCGCCCCAGATGTGGCAACAGTATTCCATACAGGGACGGATTTGAGATTTATAGAGATAGAGAATAGAATCTGGAGTAAGAAAGTGTCGAGCTCGATAAAGAGATGCAACCTTAGCAGATGCTAATTTTGCAATGGATTTGATATACGGTTTAAAAGAAAGATCAGAAGTAAGAGTTAATCCTAGAAGATGAATGGTAGATGACTCATCTAGTACATTACCATTCATAAATATAGGAAGATCTAAATTATTACGATAACGATTGGCCGAATAAAATTGAGTTTTATCTGAATTAAAGTTCACCAGCCACTGTGAGCCCCATGCTGTAGCAGAAGTGAGATCCTTTTCAAGCTCAGATACCCCCTCCAAGCAATCAGAGAGTGTAGGCTTCTTATCATGACAAGAGTAAATGGTAGTGTCGTCAGCGAATAATGCCACCTTAGATGTGAGAATATCTGGAAGATCGTTAATGTAAATTAAAAAGAGTATAGGGCCAAGGATTGAACCTTGAGGAACCCCTGAAGTTACAGGATGTGAAGAAGAGTGTTGTCCATCGAGGACAACTTTTATACTACGATTGGAAAGAAAGGACTCAATAATCTTAAAGACGTTACCAGCTACACCATAAGAAGAAAGCTTATGGAGAAGACCAGCATGCCAAACTTTATCAAAAGCTTTAGAAATGTCAAGTGCGATAGCCTTAACCTCTCCACCTCTATCTAATGCACGGTAAAACCTATCGGTTATTACTGTTAGCACATCAGCTGTAGAACGAGAAGACCGAAATCCATATTGATGATCAGAAAGTAAGTTATTTGATTCAAGATGAGAGATTAAGTGTTTGTTGATTAAAGATTCAAAAACCTTGCTTATGACAGGAAGAAGACTAATGGGACGGTAGTTAGATGAATCAGATCGCTCTCCGGAATTTTTGAAAATAGGGATAACAGATGCTGCTTTCCAGCATGATGGAAAACAAGACTCTGATAAGCACTTGTTAAATAGTTTAGAAAGTATGGATGAAAGCTCCGGAGAACACCTCTGCAAGACTACAACAGGAATGTTGTCAGGACCACAAGCTGTTGAAGAGTCTAAGCAGGAAATTACTTTAGATACAGAAGCTGAAGTGATGCGAATGTCAAGCAAGGGATCAACCTGTTTGACGGCTATGTCAGGTAAAACGCAACTAGTGGAATCAAGAGATGATATTGATGAAAAGTTCTTAGCAAACAATTCAGCTTTGTCTTTAGGTGAGGTGACAAAGTCTGAACCATACAAGAGAGAAGGAACAACAAAATATATATATAATATAAATATATATAAATATATAATATATATACACACGCAAAAACATATACACACACATATATATAATATATATATATATATATATATATATATATATATATATATATATATATATATAGTATATATATATATATATATATATATATATATATATATATATATATATGTATATATATATATATATATATATATATATATATATATATATATATATATATATATATATATATATATATATATATATATGTATATATATATACACATATTTATACATATGTGTATATTTATGTGTCTAAATACATTATAACAATGTATATACACACTCGTGAACAAGAAAGCATTTTTGTATTGAGTTATATCGTTTTAATGTCCGCAAAGTCTTGGCGTACATTAAAACTTGGCCCAAGTATCTCTTTTGTCGTAAAATAGACCAGTGATATTTCACTTGTTTATTGTACGATATCTGACAAAACATTGATATACCTTTAAAGACTGATGCATCAGTCTCCATCGATGGAGAACGTGTTGTAACAGAACTACTACCTTTGAATATTTTTAATTATTTTTCCAGTAAACAGATTTGCATATACTTAATTTTAATAAAAATTTTAATGATTTAGAAGTTTTATAATTCATAACTCATATCACGATCACATAACATAACATATAAATGCTCATAACACGATCCAATAATTTTATGAAAAATATGAAGGTTTTGATTTTAAGTATTTTGTATATGCGCGCGCATGGATGTCGGAAGAATAGCCATTTGATTTAGAGTAGTTATTATTCCGGTGTCGGAACAATAACCACAGCCAAAAACAAATTCCGATTTTCGGAAAATATAATTTTATATTGTAAAATGTCAACTGGTTTTACTTGCAAACATGTTTTCTTGTCTTTTGAAGATCTAAAAGCAAATATTAAAAAATATGAAGATGCTAATTTTGTGCAATTGTGGATGAGAGACGCCAAGATAATTAATGCTGCTAGAAAAAGCATTCCAAAGAGAGCTAGTATTATGGCTCCACAAATTAAATACTCTTTTATAAAGTACTGCTGCATTCATGGTGGACAAAAATTTAAATATAAAGGTTTTGGAAAACGTCAAACTTCGTTAGTACTTTATTTTACTTTTTTAAAAGATTGTATTATTATTCTCAGACAGTAACTGTTATAACTGTTTGTTCTATTTCAATCAATGAATAATTTATATTTCTGAATAAAGATCTTGCCTTCAAGTTACAAATAGTTATAAACTTATATGAATTAAACCCCTTATAATTCTAATAATATATAATAAGGATGATAATAATGGTAATGTAAGCAATATATCCAAAAACATAGCTTTTAAAATTCTAATAAACAACAATGATAACAATAACAACAACAGTAATAAAAATAAAAATAATATTATAAACAAAACTAATTCTAGTGTTAGTGTATAATTCAAGTAAGACAGTAAAAATGAAAATTTGAAAGTTACAGAAAAGCAGTAATAACAATAATAATATTAATCACTATAAGTGGTTAAACTTCCCCAGGTTTAAACATTTTCTTTCTTTCTTATGGTTTCTTTTTTTCTTTATGTTTTTTTTTTTTTTTTTTACTTTAAATTAAAATGTTTGTTTTAAGTCTTTCTTAGATTGAGTATGGATTATTATAGATGACTTAAGAAACTAAGGCGTGTAAGATATTGCTACAAAAGTTGCGATTTCTATCTCCTCCACTGGTAAAAATTTCATTTTTTCCCAAATAGAAAGAACTTAGTTCCCATAACCTTAGCTAGTGTTCATATCTTTAGAAAAGTTTTCAGGTTAATGGCATTTCCTATGTATTCTTTATCTTCTTGTGCAATCTGATGCATGTAAGAATTTTTTTTCAAAATTAAAAAAAAAATTAACCTTAAGAATTTATAAATACAATATTAGGAGTTAAACCTGAAAAATAGAAAAATAGTGTTCAAATAAATCCAAAATAAATATAATGATAGATATTATAACAGTTTAGTGAGATACTCAAGGAATTATAAAGTATACTTAAATAAAAACAATTGTAAAACGTTAAAACAATATACACAAAGTTATAGATTTAATAATATTTTATTATAAATAGTATAATTTGCACTGTAACAGTTCAAAAATAAACAAAAAAGAAAAAAAAAACTTGTTTATGTAGGTTATTAATAAAAACAGCACACTGCAGATATATTGAACTTTTAGTAACTCAAAGTGTTTTAACATTCCTGTTGAACTCTCAATCACACTTTCTCATAAAAATCACTATGTTGATAACTCAAACCCCTTGATAACTCGAAAATTCCCCAAGCCAATCCTTTTTTTTTTTGTCCCTGTGGCTGATAATATCCCAATAAGTTGAACTTTAGAAGAAAAATATTAACAAAATTTTATTAAAAATAAATATTCTTTTATTACATTAAACTTTCTTGATTTCCTTAATATATATCAAAAAAGATATTAATTTAAAACTGAGACATAAGGAGATTTTATATTTTATGATCTATTTTGTTTTCATTTATATTTTTTTATTTCTATTTTATTTTTATTTTTTATTCACATATTATTTTTATTTTATCTATGAATGCATCCAAGTTTGCTTGCTAAGTAGTGCATAGTTAATTTTAGATTGCTTTTGATTAACTGCTATAAATGCTTCATATCTATTGCTCTTTCCGATCTGGTCAATGTTGCAATTCTAAGTTGCTGTTATAAAAGCATTGAAACTTTTTGCTGTTGTATTACTGAAACTTTTAAAGCAAACAGTTTGTTAACATGTCAATTTTTACAATTTAGAAAAGTTGCAATGAAGATTTTATTTTATTTACCATTTCAGATTGAATTAAAAAAAAACTTTTGATAACTTGAATTATTTTTATTCATCTGTAAAAGTTTGAATTGTGAAATATCCTGATAACTAGAACATTTGCAAACTTGAAATAATTTCTTTGCTTCCCTGAAGGTTTGAGTTATTGGCAGTTTACTGGATTTATTTTATAATAAATAATTTTTTTTTATTTAGAAATACAAATATAATTTGTTACATAGAACTTTTTATTAGTAATACAAATACTTTTTTTTTGCTTATTTAATTTATGAAATAAGCATCTAATTAATACATTTTTTTTGTAGGACATATAAAAAAGATTGCCCTTTCTACCTACACTTTAAGGCATCGGAGGATGGACAAGCATTAATCTTGCAAGAATTGAACAATACACATAATCACGAAGTATCTGAAGTAAACTATTATTATTTATACTTAAAATATGTTTTATAAATAGCATTATTTTACAATTTTTTATATAGACAGGAAAAAGTAATGAAATCCATAACACTTTTTTTTTTTTTTTTTTGGGATTTCATTATTTTATATTATGATAAAATTATAATTGTCAAATCTGCTGCGGGTTATTAATAAAATTTGATAATTATGTATATATATATATATATATATATATATATATATATATATATATATATATATATATATATATATATATATATATATATATTTATATATAAAATATATGTATATATAAAATATATGTATATATATTTCAAATAATATATATATATATACATATATATATATATATATATATATATATATATATATATATATATATATATATATATATATATATATATATATATATATATATATATATATATATATATGTATTATTTGAAAACCAAAATCTTGAAATTTTAAACAACTTACTTCAAAATGTATTTGATTTAGTGTGAATCTGCTGCTATGAAGAGCTCTAAATTGTTTTCAAATAAATTCTTTTTAATTCATAATCAAATTAAAAACTCTTATTAAAAAATCAAATTAAAAATTTGTTATTGGGAGTTTTTATGAACTTTTTGATTTGAATTGATTTGTGGGTGTGATTGAATTATAGATTGTGGCTATACAAGCTTATATATTCTTCGGTTTTTTGTAACTAAGTATGATGTTTTTAAATTTTTGCTAATTTATAAGTAAATTCTGTGAATTCCTGATATCTTGACCCCTGGATAATTTGAACTTTCAGTAACTCGTATTACTTTTGAGTTCAATTCGAACCCTCACTAACAATCATAAAAACTGTAAATAGCTTGTTAGAATATATTATTAAAGTTTAAATAGCCTTTACAAATTGCAAAATATGTCATAAACTGTTTTTGTGCATAAATCAAATCAAATATATTCTGAAATTAGTTGTTAACATTTCAAGAATATTTACAATAGTACAAGTACTAATATAAAGTAAATTCCTAACAAATACAATATTAACATAAACATAGCTAAAAATATTTAACAAATACAACACATCAATTTAAACAACTATGAAGATAATAGTAGTAATAATAATATGATGTTTAATATAGTATAAATAATACTAATAATTGAAATAAAAATAAATATCAAATCAAAATAGGGAAGCTAAAATATTTATCAATAATAAGTCTAATGGTAGTTAAGTAGTTAAATATGTCTTCAGATAATATTACTATTACCTAAAAACATAATAATAACAAAATAATAATGATAGCGAGTGTTAGTAAATAAAAGGAGAATAATATTAGTTAGAAAAAAAAATAAGAAAGACAAGTACCCAGAAGTATTAAATCAAAATTTAAGCAGCATTGATTTTATATTAAAATAAGCAGAAGTATGCAAAGTTATAGATGTAATAGATAACTAGCAGCAAAGGATAGTTAACTTAAGGAGAATACTTATCTAACAAAATATTATATAAAAATTAAAAAGGCGTTTATTCAAAACTAAGACAGAATGACAGAAAATTTTATAATTTATAATGTATTATTTTTCCTTTGAGATAAAAACTTTTGATAACTTAAATTTTTTTACCTATTGACAAAGGTTTGTGTTAAAGAATGTCTCCATAACTCAAACATTCACTAACTCAAACTATTTTTCTTGGTCCCTTGGAGGTTTGAGATATCAAGAGTTCACTGTATCATTAATTTTTTATGAAATATTATCTCCTGCAAATACCAACTTCTACACATCACAACCTATTTTTAATGTATTATAAAAAATAATTAATGTTTTTTCATAATAGATTTTCTATAAACACTTACCTAATCAAAGAAGACTACCTGATTATGCTATTGCTAAAGCAGAAACCTTGTTAGGTTTGAAAGCTAACAAAAAATTACTTCAACGAGAATTGTTAAATGAGACTGGGAAAATGATAACGCTCCGAGATTTATCAAATATTGCTGCTTCTGCACACAAAAGTGACACCCGAAATGATTTAACAGCCTTTATTACAACTTTAAAGGAAAAATATAGTAAGAAAGTTATTAAGTTATTTTGTCTTCTGTAAAGTAAAGTATTAATTTAACTTTTGATAATTCAATTTCGATTACTCTTTTTTTTTTTAAATGTTAAAAATAAATATTTCTTAAATATAAGTTCATCATTTATTTATTGTAATTACTTTTTAATTAATTTTGAAGAAATTCATGTTTGACAAGTTTCATGTACAGGTATAGTGCCCTTAAAAAGATAGTGCCCATAAAAAGACAAAATAATTATATTGCTGATAACTATTGTTAATCAAAACTAAAAAAAATTTGGATATTCCAAAATATGAACCACTTATATAACCTTTAGAAAAAAGTTAGGTTATAGTGCAGAAGTTCAAAAGTTGTTCTTATGTTGTCTCAGAAGATAATTTTTTATATATAGGGTCCTTATTAGGAAAGCTACGAATAGGGTCCTTATCAGAAAAGTAATTACTTTTTAATAGTTCGATACAAACAGTTTTGACTGCTTAAAAAGTGCTTTGAAAATGGTAGTATTTTTGTCTTTTTAAGGGCACCGTTTATTTTAAACTTTTTTTTTTTTTTTTTCCAAAAATAAAAACTTCAAAATAACAAGCAAAACTCTGTTTTTAACACTGCAATTCTATCAGCCTAACGGAATTTATTGAGAATCTTTAAAACTGTCTTTTTCATCGTCAGACTTTCTAAATAACTTCTAAAATACGGCAGTTATTTTTTTTGTTGTAAATTTAGGTAAAATTGTACCAATTTCATAACAATTTGACATATAGGGCATTGTTTAAGTTTTCAGCTTTGCAAATGCTTCTGTCTGAAACGCATTTTTCTTTGCATCTATACAACAACTTTGTTTCTTCTCTCCTTCTCTTCTTCTCAACTTTTTTCTTTCTTTGTGTTCTTTCTCCTGTGGTTTTTTCTCCTTTAAGTTGTTAATAGACTCTACAAGCTTTAGCACATCTGATCTTCCATGGAGCCATAGACTTGGGTTACTCTTGTAGTTGCTTTTTGCATATTATTACTTTTTGCTGACTTAAGATTAATGGTTTTTTCAAGTAAGCTCCTAATCATTGTTTGTAGTGACAAACATTTTTCTTTCCAGTTTGAAGCTTTTTTTTTTCAATATATTTGGCTATTTTTTTGTTTTATAGGTATAACGAAACTTATTTTGCCATTTACAACTGATGAAATATCAGTAACATTAAATAAAGCATCTGATAAACACACTGTTGTATGTTGTTAAGGGTTTTTTTTCATATTTTATTTTTTAAAACTTGCTCTAATACCATTGTACCTTTTTGGAATTTATCTATTTGCATAAATGCAATGTTGAGGCTTTCACTATTAATAATGATCTTTATTCCAGCATTTCGTATCGACTCTGATGTGGCCCACTTCTCCCACATACTTGCAAAAGATAACATAAAAGCCTCTATTAATTGTTTGATTTTGACTAAACAAATTTTCTTTTGTATTTTCATTATTTTTATGAAGCCTTTTGTTGATTTGATCAAGAAGTTGCTTTACCCTGTAGTGTCTGGAGGTGATATATACAAATGTATTTTTTTCTCTCTAGGAAATTGAAGTATGGTATAATGAAAACAAGAACTGTGACAATCTCTCAGTAAAACAGGGCAAAGTATGTCTTTTGCAATAACGTGCTTATCAAATAATTTATAAAATGTAAGTATGGATTTGTGATCTTGTGATCCATTCTCTGTTATCAAAATCAATAAGTTTGAAATACTTCGAACAGTATCTTGTGGAGCCATTTGACTAGTATTTCCTTAAGTACCAAATATTACATGGCAGGTGCATTTTTCATCTAAGTAATAGATTAAGCAGTGAAAATTTGTCTGAAAATTCAAAATATAAATTACATTTCTTGTCTTAAAATATATCTATTTTTAAATTTGTCATTTTTTTACTTTTGTTATTGACATATTTGTTATTGCCTAAATTAGAGCAGGCCATTTCACGGGTACAATCAGTATTATAATACAGTATTGTATAAACAATTTACACGATAGAGCACTGCATTTATTTTTGATGTTCTTTTTTCTGTAAATTTGTTTTAAACTGACATGGACACAGAAACTTACAGTTTATATATTGAATAATACAATAGAAAATTTTAACCTTTTCTTCAAACAAGTTTTCCAAAGCAATAAACTTTCTTCTTCCTTTTATCTTTTTGTTAGCATGATCATGAATTTTTTACACATCCATAATAAGGTTTTTTAGTTTTTTTCTGTTCATACCTTAGTTATTTCAATTTTTACATCGCACATACTCAACCTTAATATCTTCTTCTTCAGTGGTTAGTATCGTTACGTGTTTTATTTCATTTCCTGTAAAACTAGGTTATCTAATTGCTTATCAATCACAATTTTGTTTTATATTAACGTAAACTGACCTGCAGAATATCCTTGTTTTCCATTAATTTCGCACCATTACACAGCTTTGTTTAACTGTTTGTTTCTTTTATCTCGGATAAATTGCTTTACAGTTGCTTCAGATTTATTCCTTGACTTTTTAAATACAGAGTTTGCATTTGCAGCTACACTTAAGCTATATTGTTGTTTCATTTGTTTTTTTTTGTTTTGTAATTAAAACATTTTAAACTATTAAAACAGTACAAATAAAGTAATGTAAAAACACAAAACAGCAATTTTCTTATTTTTAAGTCTTTTTTTGAAGTTGCAAAACAAGAAGTAGGTGTTAAAAGAAATTGAACTGTTATATGAGTTACTACTATCTTTCAAAATAAACTTTAAGATATAAAGGAAAGAAAAAAATACAATATTAATAAAATAGTTTTAGAAAAAGAGTTTCTTAATGCTCATTACAAAAATCGTGATTTGGGTTATTTCATGACTTTTCTAATTGTTTCAAAAAATCATTAAATAATTCCAGATTTCTTTCTATTATAAGATACCTATACTAGGCAGATAATACTATGCAAAATATCTCCCCAATTGAGTTAATCTTTAAGGAAACATCGACAATAATAAGATTGTCTTTTTAAGGGCACCTTGCCAAAAATAGACAAATTTCAAATACAAATAAAAATATTAAAAATTTAACTACTGTTTTCAACCGCTAGGAAGGAATTATATGGCTTTAAACAAAATTAAAAAAAAATGAATTAAAAAAAAATAGGCTTTCCCAAACATTTTAAGCCATTTTAAATTTGTTGTCTTTTTTAAGGGCAATATACCTGTAAAATTCTTTTTTTTAAGTTTACCTGTCTGACACTTTTCCGAGTTTCAAACAGGTAGTACAGTGAAGAAAAGGATGTTTGTTTTAGGTAATGTTCTAGGTAATATTTTGAAGAATATTGGTGAGATTGAGAAGTCGATAATATGTTGAGACTTAAATTGGTATGTTGGTGTGGCTTCAGATGGTTTTGAGGCATGGTGGAAAAGGATTTAGCATTAGAAATGCTGAAGGAGAGATGTTGTTGGAATTTTCTGATACTACGGGATTGACCGTCTGTAATATATGGTTTACGAAATAGGATTAACATAAAATAATTTATGAGTCTAATGGTTTGGAGACACAAGTGGAATAAATCTTAATCAAAAAGCAACATGGAAAATAGGCAAGCAACATAAATAATACCAATAATAATACCAATAATAATACCAAGAATAATACCAAGTGAGGCTTGTATTCCAGAGCACAAATAAATTATTTGTGACATGTTGGTGGAAAATTTGAAGAAAAGAGATCTTTGTGATTGCAGAATTTGGAAATTTAAAGGAGATGAAATGTGTAAACATTTTGAAAAGAAAATTAAAGCAAGAAAGCAAATCAGATCAAAAAGAAATGTGGAAAGTATGTGGAAAAACATGAAGAAATGCCTTGTTGATGTATCTGATGAAGTATGTGGAAAGAAAAAGTGGTGGAATGAAAAAGTGGCTAAAGTTAAATAAGAAAAGAGGATATTTCATAACATCCGGAAAAAGTCTGGAAATGAAGATGATAGGCTACTGTATTCTGTGGCAGAGCGCAAGTCAAAAAAAGCCATATACAAAGCTAAATTAGTTGAGGAAAAATAATTAAGTAAGATGCTTAAATAGAGATGTTATTGGAGAAGGCTGTATCAAAGAGGTGGTGAAAAGTTTATTAATGAAGTTGAGGTAAAAGCAAGGTAGATAAGTAATTTTAAAAAATTGCAAAATAAAGAGTTAGGATAGAAAAAGGCTCTGCTGTGTCTGCAGTGAATAAGGTTAGTGAGCCAGCAGAGCAGATAACATGAGTGAAGTGAATTACCTATTAAGAAGGCTCAATTAGGTAAGGCTGCTGGTCCTTCTGGTTTTTTTGCAGAGGTGTTGAAAGCTTTAGGTGATGTAGGTTTTCATTGGGTGTCTGATCTTTACAATTCGATTGTATATGAAGGTAAAATCCCAAATAATTAGAAGAAGCATTGGATGGTAAAGATTCATAAGGGAGGCGGAGACGCATTAGAATGTGGTTCTTATAGAGGAATTAAATTGCTAGACCAGGTTATGATGATTTTAGAAAAAATTATTGAAAGCAAAATAATGAGCAGTGTATTGATCAATAACATTCAGTTGGTTTGAGGCCAGGAAAAGGAATGACAGATGTTGTTTTTATTTTAAGGCCAGTTTAAAAAAGATTTTTGGAAAGGAAAAAAGATCTGTGGATGGCATTTATTGACCTAGCTTTTGACAGAGTTCTAATTGAGGTGGTGTGGTGGGTTTTAAAGTGTTTAGGTATTGAAGAATGGCTAGTGACTTTCTAGTGTTATGATGTATGGCAGCGAAACATGGGCAATAAAGGTTGATGATGTTCAGCGTTTAGAAAAGACAGAAAGTATGATGATTACATGGATGTGTAGTGTGATTCTAAAAGACCAGAAAAGCAGTGATGATCTAAAAAAAAGAAAATTATTAAAATATTTCTCATTCCTCTATGTATTCATACATATATATTTAATTTATATGTATAATTATAGTTTATTTTCTTATCAGTATATAATATAAAATGTATTTTAGATGCTAATGTTGAAGTTTTGACAGATGCAGACAATAATTTGCAAGGGCTTTTTTTTCAAGATTTTTTTATGCACAGTGCCTACAACGCATATCCTGAGTTTTTATGCATGGATGCGACATATAAATTGTTAGAAATTCGACTGCCTGTTTATATTCTGCTATGCGAAGATGGAGCTGGTTGGTTTCAATTATTTATTAATCAAAGTTTTGATGTATATAATTAGTTAATAACCGTGAACATCATATTTAGTTATGCCTAATTTACATTCACTTTTTTGTATAGGTGAAAGTGAAATAGCTGCTGTAGGTTTGCTCACGCATGAAGATGCTGCGTCTCTTAGGTATAGTTTCTCTGCTGTGACTGGCTTTGATGTATATGCATAATAACAGGTAAAACAAATATTAAAGTAATCATACTGACATTTTATATTCTTAAATGGCATTTGAAAAATGTATATGTTACATTTATAAACCGCCACAATAATGACTAGTCAGAATAATATTTTGAAGTTGTTAAAAGACCACCTTATCTGAAGTTGTTAAAAGATCATCTTATCTTATTATGTTTTTTTTCGACTTTGAGCACTGTATACATATATATATATATATATATATATATATATATATATATATATATATATATATATATATATATATATATATATATATATATATATATATATATATATATATATATATATATATATATATATATATATATATATATATATAAATATGTGTGTATGTATTTCTCTCTTTATGATTTTTTTATTATTTGTTTTAAAGTTGGTTTGTTGAAAGATTTAAGAGTTTCAATATTGCTTGGCCAAAGACAAATGTCTTCATGACAGACAAAGACTTAACAGAAAGAGAGATTTTATGTAGTGCTTTTCCTGGGGTTTCTCTATTACTCTGCTTATTTCACACCATGAGGTAATATTAATTACCCAGAAGTGACTAGCGCTAGATTAATGGATAATGAATCCTTCTGATTTTTAACATGATTGTTAATTTTTATCTGTAAATATGGATTATATAAAATCTTATAAAGTTTCTTTTTTAATTGTTTTGTTAAGCCAACATCACACTTTTGTTTACAGAACTTTCAATCGTGAGATTACAACTTCCAAACTTGGGATAACAAGCGGTGAACGGACTTCATCTTTAGAACTTATTCAGAAATTGGCTTACGCTACATCAGAAGAAGTTTATGATGAACTATATAGATTATTTATTTCATCTTCTCCAACTACTGTTGTAGATTATTTTAACAAGAACTGGCATAATATTCGTGTTGATTGGGTTTTTGGTTTAAATTTTGCTAGTGGAAATTTCATGAACAGCACCAACAACCGCCTTGAAAATTTCAATGGCAAATTAAAAGAAGTGATTGACTGCAACAGTTCCTTAGAAAATTTCCTGGATAAATTTTATGTTGTTCTAGCATCAATGCGTAACGAGAGAGATCATAAGACTATTTTTCAAATGCAAAAAGTTCTGGTTGACATGTTTGATCCCAACTCAGCAGAGGCAGCATATAAGAAAGTTCTAACATTGTATGCAGCTCAACATGTTTTAAAGCAAATGAGCTTGCGTGGAGACATTAATTTGTTACAAAGAGAAAATGAATACTTTATGGTAAACACCACTGAAGGTCTGCATACAGTCACTTGGAATTTTTGTTCATGTATGTTTAGAAAGTCAATGCACTTACCTTGTAGACATATATTTGCTGCTCGCCAATTCCTTAGAATAAATTTATTTGATATTGACTTATGTGCTGAACGCTGGACATTAAAGTACTATCGGCAGCATCAACGAGCTTTTAATAGTCCTATAATGGCTGATGAGTTGAGATCTGTAGAGTTTCATGTAGCTCCAAAAAAAAAACTCCTTTCTCAGCATGAGAAGTTTAAACTTGCTCTACAGGAAACATCATTTCTTGCTACCCTTGTTTCTGAATCCACTGGACAGACTTTTGAACAACGTCTCAGTATTTTACAAGCTCTAAAAAAAGGTTGGACTGATGGAAAGGTTATGTTAGTTAATGAACTTATTGATGTGGACATTTGTTCATCAAAAACAGAAAGTACATTACCTAGTGCATTAACTATAGTTACAGAATCTCCAATAAATTCATTGGGATGTGTATCTGGAGTTAATGGTGTAAACACTTCAGTAGCACCGTTAGTAGTCAGTAATAAAAATGTTTTAAGCCCTAAAAAAAATGTTTCACAATTAACTACAGAGTATGCAATTGATAACGACAGCATTTTATTAGAGGAAGCTATTATTTCTGAAAAAACTCAACATGAAGAGTTAACATCTGTGAAGAATTATGCAGGTGCAAGTTTAAATTGTTTCTCCTATTAAATATATCTTTATTAAAATAAAAATAAATCAACAAATTTAATATTTTCACACTTTAAAAACCATAAATTTCTTGTAGAGTCTCACCTGAACAGGATTCGGTTGCCGAAACATGTTTCTCGATGCGGACGACCTAAAGGTTCTACTCTGACCACTATTGGTTTGCCAAAAAAGCGACAACCTAATTTGTATGAAAAAAGAGTACCTTTTTTGAAATTACATCCATCAAAAAGACATGCTAGTATGTATAAAAGATGCAGATGTTTTTTTTATTAGTATTTCTATAATATAATGTACTTGTTAATTAATCATTTTTAACTAACCAAATATTAAAACTTTGTATTTAGTGATGCTGGGTTGGTTTTTAAAACCAGATGATGTCCATAAAGCTCTTTCTGGAATTCTCATTGAAAGTAATTGTATTGAAAAAAGAGTCAATCATATCTCATCTGCTATTCTTGATGAAAGTGCTGGAGGAGCTCTTTTGTCACTACAAGGGTATTTTACCCCAGATGGATGGAAAGTGCTCCATGAACTAATTGATACCAAACCTCGTCAAAAAGTTTGGCCTTGTGCTGTGTGCCAAAAAAGCACTTGCTTGGGTAATGACATTGGGGACTCAGTAGGATGTGATTCATGCCTTTTGTGGTTTCACAAAAAATGTGTTGGTCAGAAAGAAGGAAATTTTCTAAAATCAAAATACTGGTTTTGTCATTCTTGTTAGAATATTTTTTTATTAATGAAATATAGTTATACTTGACTATATTATATTTGGTATCAAGTGCTTAACTCATATGTTATAAACATCATCAGATGTTTTATTTTACTATTATATTTTAAGTCTAATGGATTTTTTACACATTGATAGTTACAAATTGTGTATTGAGAGCCCTCAGGTTGTATGTTAATTTACAGGTTTTTCAGGTCAACTGCTTCCTTCATTTATTCCTTAATCTTAAACTCAACTAAATTTTTGTAATCTAAATATAAATAGACCGCTTAAGATTTAACACCAGCGCGAAAACAAAATACAGAAAAAGTAAAGCTAGTGTAACTAGAATTATTGGAATCACTAGAATTTTTAGAGCTTTAGATAGTTTAGAGTTTTTTAACAACAAACAATTTTCACTGAAATTTTTGAGCTTTATATAGTTTAGAGTTTTTTAACAACAAACAATTTTCACTGAAATTTTTAGGCCTTTATATAGTTTAGAGTTTTTTAAAACAAATAATTTTCACTCTTAGAGCTTTATATAGTTTAGAGTTTTTAACAACAAATAATTATCATTATAATTTTTCGGCCTTTATATAGTTTAGAGTTTTTTAAAACAAATAATTTTCACTCTTAGAGCTTTTTATAGTTTAGAGTTTTTAACAACAAATAATTTTCACTGAAATTTTTAAATGTTTATATAGTTTAGAGTTTTTTAACAACAAACAATTTTCACTGACATTTTTAGAGCTTTGTATAGTTTAGAGTTTTTTAGTAACAAACAATTTTCACTGAAATTTTTAGAGCTCTATATAGTTTAGAGTTTTTAAGAACAAATAATTCTCATTAAAATTTTTAGAGTTTTAAATAGTTTAGAGTTTTTAACAACAAATAATTTTCACTGAAATTTTTAAAGATAGTTTTTAACAAAGTAGCTTCAGATAGTTTTTAACAACAAATAATTTTCACTAAAATTTTTAGGCCTTTATATATTTTAGAGTTTTTAACAACAAATAATTTTCACTCTTAGAGCTTTATATAGTTTAGAGTTTTTAACAACAAATAATTTTCACTGAAACTTTTAGAGCTTCAGAAAAAACTTTTAGAGTTTTTAACGAAAAATAATTTGCACAGAATTTTTTAGAGTTTCGATAGTTTAATATTTTTAACAACAAATAGATTTTACTGAAATTTTTAGAGGTTTAGATAATTTAGAGTTTTTAACAAAAATAAATTACACTAACATTTTTAGAGCTTTAGATAAAAACAAATAATTTAACTGTAGCTATAAAATTTTTAAATAGTTCAGAGTTTTTTCTTTTCTTTTTTAGCCGAAAATAATTTTAACTAGAATTTTTAGAGCTTCAGATTTTTTAGATTTTAGATTTAGATTTAGAGTTTCATGTTTTATTTTCCAAAGTTCATGAGTAAGTAAAACAAGTGAAACTTTCAAAGTAAAATAGTTGTCATTTTATTCTAAAATGTTATTTAAAGATAGGTAAATAATTTATTTTATGGTTAACAACTTCCATTAAAAAAATTTATATATAATTTTAGAATTTTTTGAACTTAACATAATTTTTAATTAGAAGTTTAAATTTGTTATTGTATTATTATTTTGTTACAAGTAAAAACAAGTATATTTTATTATATTCTTTTTTTCCTTTTTCTCTAGTTCTTCTGATTCCAGTTTGAGTTGGCTTTCTGTTGAAACATGGTTTAATTTAGTAAATTTTCATTACTTGAAATTTACTAAGTTAATCATAAGCTAACAGTTACAGAAAATTTGAACTAAACAATATTAAGGTAAGAAGTTTAGTTTACTGGTAATATTACAAAGTATATTCTTACTGGTAATTTTGTTAATTCTTTTTTGTATAATGAGAATGTTTTTTTTTATGACACCACTCAAAATAAAATTTGCCTATTTTTACACAATTATTTGAATATAGCCAGTGTCATCTCCAGGCTGATTTTGATACCAGTATCTGGCATTTAAATGTTTCATCTAAACTCCAGTTTGTATTAGTTAATAATAAATATATTTATAAACTAAAATCATTACAAACAGTGACTGTTCTTGAATGTTTTCAGAAGCATTCAACGTATTTTATTGTTTCAAGAAGTTATTTTGGAACCAGTGATCCCAAATAACTTCTGGATAACATCACTGGTAATAGACACAAGTAAGAGGTCTTCCATAAAATACGCACACCTAAAATTTAGATCCTCCTTCCCTAAATAGTATGCATCTCACTGAGTCTGTAATTTGCTCAATGCTTGAACTAATATTTAGCCCTGTGATAACCTGTTCTAATAGTTATCAAAATGAAGTATGAAATGATTCATAATTGAAATGCACTCAAAATCTCCTACATAATTAAACCTTTTTTTATTTATATATTTAAACTAAAGTATTTTGGAACAGTTCTATATAAGTACCTAATGTATATGTACATTATACATTTATGTGCTATATACATTATTGCATTGTTAATGAACATAATACCTAATAAAATTCTACAATTATTTATTGAAAATTTTAGTGGTTACTACAACATATAAGTATACATCAACCTCCCATATTTTTTAACAGCCTGTTACTTTATTATTATAGCATGTTACTTTATTTTTAGTTGTTCTATCAATTTTTTACTAATTTTTTACTTTTTAAAATAATTATAAATTAAAAGCAGCATTGGGGCAGTAGAGTAGCAATAGACACACAGTATCTATTAAAAATGATAACAATTAGGTCCTGTTCTCAGGTAGTATTTCAATTTAAGGTTCCAATTTAAACAATTATGGTAAACTGGAATCAAAACTCACTTTGATCCAGTCAGGTATCGAACCCAGGTGGGTAACCTCGAAGCCCCAATGACATACTGCTAGATTAGTAATAATATCTTTTATAAGCTAAAATTGCCTTGGTTTTTTGTTCATAAACTAGAAAGGCATCAAACCTATCCAACTTATTTAACGAAATGCACCACGAGAAGGTAAACCATAGGACTTTGCATTCCATAATATAATTTAAAAATTTTTCCAGATTTATAACTTTTGATAGCTATAATTATTATGTATATTTTTAATTGCGTTCTATCTATTTATTATTTTTAATAACATTTTTAGCATTTGATTTAATTATTAACATTTGATTTTAGAGAGTCACTAATTTATATAAATACATAAAAACCAATTATGTGGAATATATTATGTAAGAATTTGTTACTTTTTCAAATTAAATATTAAAAAATTATAATTTTTCGTAAATCTTGAAATTTTTTAATCTTTCAAACTCTGTACCCCCAGGTTCGCAATAGCGTCATAACCATAACCATGTAATGGGAAAACATTGAACCTACACTGTTGGCTAATGATTAATAAAGTAAATTTCAGTTCATAAAAATTTACTAAATTGAAACCATATTTCAACAGTAGTCAAATTAAACATAAAAAATGAAGTAGAGCAGAAACTCATGAATGAACTAAAAAAAATAATAATAATTTAATAAAGAAACAATTTCCAAATTGCACAAAACAAATAATTCTTTTAAGAAAAATATAAAAAAATCAATACTAGTTTTTGTAGAACATAAAAAATAGCAAACATAGAACTTAAAAACATATATACATAACAAAATATTGATATGCGTAAATTTAGAAAAAAATTAAACATTAATATAACAGTAAAATATCTTTAAATCAGGCTAAAATAATAATGATATGTTGGACTAATAACTATACTAATTAAAGTAAGATAAACACTTTTATTCTATGTTCCTATAGAAAAAAAAAAAAAGTCCTACAACCTAAATATCAAAAGCTCTAAAAGTTCTCAACTACAGTAAAATATTTCCGATGCTTTTATATTTCACCCACGTTAATAATCCATTTTATATTGTACATATCACTTTAACAAAGCGTTTATTCAATTTTTTCCTCTACAAAGATGATTATTAGGCTATCACTAAGATATGAAAATATCATAATTAAGTATATGAATATATTTTTTTTAATGGAATTTTGTTTATTTGAGGCTGAAAATAATAAAAAAATATGCTTTTTTAACCTTATTTGGGTTTTTAAAATATTTGTAAGCCAGCATTTCCTGAATGCCAAAAACATCTGCTTTTGATTGGGTTTTAATTGATTTTGGCAAATTGAGAAAGACCTTGTTTTTCTACAATACAACTTGTTTGTTTTGGATTGTCAAAATAAATTTTGTTTCTGTTATTGAATTAAAGTTCTAAAGATTACTTAAAAATTTAAATGGTTACCATATACCAAAAATTAGACCAAGTGTGGTGGTTTAATTTTTGATATTGTAGATAGATTTTGAAAACTTTTGCTCAATCATATTTTGTATGAGATAGCTATTAATATATATAACCAATCGATTATATATATTGATCAATGATTGATTCAATCAAATATTTGAATATAACAGTACTATAGTTCACCAGACCCTTCAAGTCTTACTCTAATTAATGTCATGATGATTAAAATCACCGATAATTACAACTTACATTTTTGGATTTTTCGGAAAAGATTACAAACACTTTATATTTAACTCAACAGAAACATCTTTTGTTGAGGTGGTAGGTGGTTTGTAGGTACATCCTCTAATTAATGTTTGATGACTTCTTATTACAGATTGAACACAGATTTTGATAATTAATCACATATTTCTTCATTGTTTACAATTTTAAATTTTTAATTTCAAATTCCTATGTTTAAGCTATAACAAATTATTAAACTAGAATCAGTTATCCTAAATTATCCTTGTACTGAAATTTGTTAACTGAAATGTCATTTAGTTTTTATCTAAAATCGGAATTTGTTTTTACACGTGACTTTTGCAACCAATAGACGCGCTTCCGGTACTATAAGAAAATTTTCTTATAGTACCGACTTTCGGTACTCTATCCACGGCGTATATATATATATAATATATATATATATATATATATATATATATATATATATATATATATATATATATATATATATATATATATATATATAATATATATATATATATATATATATATGTATATATATATATATATATATATATATATATATATATATATATATATATATATATATATATACATATATACAACATTATAAATACATTCACGTATACATACAAATGTAAACATACTTTGTTTGACGAGTAGCTGTGCGAAAAGTTATCTTTTAATTTGCATTGAAAAAAAATATATTTATACGGGTTGTAATTTTGTAATGTTGCCAAGAATTTATGCCACAAGTTCCTTGTTTACTTCTTTGTCAAGGAAGTAAAACAGTAAAAATGAAGATGTCAACATTATAATATTGTGACATGAAAATTAATCGTGAAACTAATTTTTGTAAAGGTGAACGATATTTAATTCAATTCTTTAAAATAACTAACTTTATGCATAGTAAAATTTAGTTCGTTTTTTAAAGAAATAAAAACTTCTTTTATATAAACTTAAGGTGGTTATCAGGTAAAAAAATAGCGATTTTTGTGAAAAAATGTGTTTTTTAGTTTATCAGCCAACTTTGTTTAAAATTTAATTGGCTTTTTAACCATATATAACATGATATGGGTTAATTAATAAAAAAATGTAAAAAAATTGTTTTAGTTGGTAAGAGTAAAAAAAATTTACTTAACAACCGCATAGCAACCAATAATTTTTTATAGATATATTACCCAAAGACCTAGATTTAAACAATTATTCCTTTTCATGGGTCTGTATAATTAACTAAACTTTTGAACCAGAGTTATTGTCTTGCTATTAAAAGTATTCTTAAAGACACATTCTTGGCACTACGGTCAGATGATTTGTTATCAAGATGCCTGGATGGCGCAACACAAAATCCAAATGAGGCTTTCAACCAGATAATCTGGAAAAAGTGTCCAAAAAATATTTTTGTTACTAAAAAGGTACTAGATCTTGGTGTTGCTTCAGCTGTAATAAATTACAATGATGGTTTGAGAGGTTTCACAAGAATTTTTGATTATTTGCAGCTCTTGCCTGGAAGTTTTATGATCCAAGGATCGTGGAAGAAGGACGTATCAAGAGTAAAGAACACGATTAAAAATTCAACTCCAAAGCAAAAAAGGGCTAGAAGGAAAAGGAGATGTATCAGGAAGGGTTATATTGATAAGGAGAAAGAAAAAGAGGGAGTAGACTCTTATATTACAGGAAATTTTTAATTAATAAATTGTTTTTAAACTTTGAAGCTTGATTTCTCAATTGTTTGTTTTTGCCTGACTGCAATAAGCGAATCATTCATATCTTTTTAACCAGATATGCAATTGAGTTCAAATTTTCAGGGTTGTTTCTTTATAGATAGAACTGCAATAGCTTACTAGAACTAATCTTAAGCTTGTTTCCATTTGAATATATTCATATTTTACCTTTTTTTTTTGTATCAATAATTTCCGTTAAAATTGAAAAAGCTGCCATTTTAAAAATAATAATTATTTTTAGTTTTTCTAGTAAGCTTTTGTTTAATACACTATAATCTATCAGTGTTGTAAGTTTTGGCTTATAATGTCATAAAGAGGCTGAGAAAATGTTGTTTTCTTTTTTCATTGATTTTTTTGCATTTTATGCTGATTCAGCAAAAAAAAAAGGAAATTATTTTTTTTTTATCATTTTTAATTATATTAATAAGTATGTTTCTTTTAAACTAACTTTGGTATATGATTAAGTTGGCAATCAAAAAATAATTTTTTTACCTGATAACCACCTTAAACGCTAACATAATCCAGTTTTAATGTAGAAACAAAATCCAACGAAAAACCGATTTCTCTTTAATTATAATGTAAAAATAATGTATACAAGTTCCATTTTATGAACTTCTTTGAAACTCAATTAATTTTGTTATTGTAAATGGCGAAATTTAAGATTCGGTTTTATAAAATATTTTCTTGTAACAGAACCAATTGGGCCCCAAATGGGAAACCCATCACATTCCCATATTCCGTAACCCAGATATGATTTCTACGAGAGTTTTAGCGTGATTTTTTAGCCATACGGGACCCATCAGGAAACCAGTACTCGCGCCCATTTAGATCCCGTATCCCGTAAACCCGGATATAAACCGTACGGGGCCCGTTTGCTATTGCTGGCTGGGTATCTTTTATAGCATTCCAATACTTTTGGCCAATTTAGTAGAAATAAAGTTGATATGATACTTAAATGCCATATTTTCATTAATGTAAATGCCTAAAAATCTTGTGACCGACTCCTTTTTTATTTCTATTTTATCAATAAAAAAATTTCTGGCCCGTAGCCAGAATATTTTGAAGGGGAAGCACTTTTTTAAAAGGCGCCAAATGGGTATACAAATTGCACACAATAATTCAAAACGGAGAAAATGATATAATTTTAAAATACAACAAAATAGTAATTAAAAAAACAAATTAAGTAAGATTTAAGTAAAATTAAGTACAAATCAGTTTTATATGATTAAGGATGTCAGCTCCATTTTTCTTGGATGTAATTTAATAAATAATTTTGCAATTTCTGTTTTGTCTAATGCTTCGATCTTACCACGATGCACATGCAGTAGTGTAAGTGCTCCTAAACGCTCGTTCTTCGTGGATGCTCTTTTATAATTTGACAATCTGCAAAGCGCAGATGCACATCGCTCGCATTCACAAAATGTTACTGGAAGTGTACAGCCAATACATAAGAGTGTATGTACATTTGAAAGAGCTTTCTTATCACATTTCAACAATGAAGCTTGTAAATCTTTTGATTTTGGATCTTCCATTTTATCACAAAAGTTTTTCCAGCGAACAATTTCATCCTCAAACAATCCTGGAAGAGGTAGATCGTTGCTATAGATTTCGACAACATCTTTAAGATTTTCGATTATATCACATATTAATGCTTGCGATACATTTTCACACATAACATAAAATAGTTTTATAGCTTGACAAGATTGTTCACTAAAAATTAATTGGAGCTCCGATATAATGTAATCCAAATAAAGAATCAGAATGTTACGCTTGCGAACCTCATGTGGAGTATCAGCTGGAGTGTTCTGATGATAGGTTTGCCGTTGAACTGCTCGTGATGTTACCAAATTGACGCCCAAATGTTCTGCTGTTTTTACAACATGTGTGAAGATGGAATTAGATTGTTGTTCAAGCTGAGCATCGCGTCTGTGTTTTAATTTTAATACAACTTCTTGTACTCCTTTGTATGCGCCAATTACATCATTTGCTATGCGCCAACCACATCTTGTGTTCGGCCTTGTAACGAAATAGCTGTGGCCCTCAGATATGATGTTAATCGTATAATTGTTAACAATGAATTCAAAGTTATGCAGAGATTTTTTGTAAGACAGAGGATTTCGTCGATAATCCGGTGTCCAGCTTGACCAATCTTCATCTTAAGTGGTGTATACATTCAGATGCAATTTATCGGCAATAACTTTGACAATGCCCATAGAATGCTAAGCTATTGTCTGTCAAAAAGGCTTTTGCCAAACCATGGCGCATGTTGCTGGCTCCATTATAACTTTGGCCGCGAAGATTTTCACGTTCTAATCCATGGTCTAAGAGCCATTTTTTTGTAAAATGATGTAAAGCACAACTAGCAACTCTGTTAGTTGGAATAAGATTAAGAACCTCTTCTCGAATAAAATTTTTAAAGTCAACAAACGAACTGAAATCACCACCTTTTCTTTGTTGTGTAGGGATACTTCATCTTTCAGAAGAGTATAAAATTTGGCCTTTTTTATTTCTAAGAGAAGATCAGGTTGAATCATATGATAACCAACAATGCCAATAAGTTCATTTTGGATTGTTCCAGAAAGATATGTAGCATTCTTTAGTCTTGGTGAATTGATATGCTGTAGTAATTCTGAATTATGTTTTGCAAGAAGCTCATGCAATGCAATAAAGTTCCTTGGTTGACACATGTATTAGAATTAGATATCTTTTCGTTAGATCCGCGGAATGCCAGACCTTGTTTCCCAAAAAAAGATCTGCTTCGATAATGCAATCTTCAAGGATGTGTTTGTTAAAGCTTACTGTACCTCAAGTATGGATATTTATAAAGTAGTTTAATGGTAAACGTCACTTTTTTCCATCATCTGATTAAGAAAGTGGTGTTGAAGCAGGTCGGTAATTTTTATCATACAAATTAAGTTTTTCAGCAATTGGTAACAATGGCAGTGTTTTAAGGTCTAACATTCCAATTTCAAAACAAAGATAAGCACATGTACCAACTTGCTGTGCTGCATTATCATCAACGTCAGATTGTTGTGCTTCATTACCATCAATGTCAGATTGCTGAGGTACATTACAATCAATGTCAGGTTGTTGAGCTGTATCATCATTACTGCCATATTTGTGTGCTGCATTACCAACAATGCCAAATTGTTGAGCTGTCTCACCATTACCATTTCAGAGGATTTTCTAAGTTCTTTTGTAATCCATGAACTACTCAAGGTTTTTATTTTCATTATTTTCTCACCAAGTGGGAGTTTGAATTGTATATTGAGAAGAACGTTTCAAAGAATTTATTATATATTGTATTTGCGTCATAATTAAAGTTAATATGTTATAAATAAAAGTTAATAAGTAAAAATAGTATAAAGTTTCCAATGCAGAAGTGATAATTTGATATTGGAAGGATTTTATAGTGTTCTCGTTGAAGACACGTTTTTTTATTATATGTTGTTTTTCGGGGTTATTAGAGGATACAGTATAGATTGTTATAAAAATGGGGAAATGATCGGATATGCTGGTTTTTATAATTCCTTTTTGTAATTTCTTATTACAAATATTTATTGTAAAAATATTATCAAGTCGTTGAAGGTTTGGTTATTCTAGTAGGGCGATTCATTAAAGTGCAAGTACTCCTTCCGTAAATAATTCATCGTAAAAACTTTTTATTTTTTTATCTTAATTATAAATTAAACAGTTGAAATCTCCAATTATAAACATGCTGAAATCTCCAATTATAAAAGCAATTAAGTTTTCTTTGCTACTCGGTGTAGTTAAAGTACTTTTAAAATATTATAGCGTCTGTATGATAATTTGTTAACTACAATATATTTCCGGTATAAATGGTTTGGTCTTTGAATTATGAAAAGACAAAAAATTTTAAAATGATAAACATTGCGGTAACATAAAATATAAATGTTTGTAGCAAAAAAACCCAGACCAAAGATTCTTTTTTAAAAAAGAAATCATCTTAAAATTGCAATCGCTCGTCCAAATTTGAGTAAGATATTATATTAATACGTTTTTTAGGTGAAATGAAAATTATAGTTTAACAAAATGATCTGTTCTGATCGTTTATTGGAAATTTTCCATAATTATAAGCTTCCTTGGTCGGAATTCTAGTAGTTTTCGTGAAAATTAATAGAAATATTGTGCTCTGACAACTATATATAGTTTATATACGTCAGAACCGATTAAAACTAGAATCAGTAGTAAATTAAGGAACTTTTTCAAAAGATTTTAACTAAATTCATGTTAATTTCCAATGAAACTCAACAAGATATAATTGATTCCTTGAACGTTAATATTTTATAAATTTCATTCTTATTCTTAAGTGGGGGTTTGATGGCAGTTCCGGTCATAGCAAATATGAACAGAGCTTTGTTGAATGTTGTTTTGTGGACACCTTAATCTCCTCAATTTTGCAGACCTATCAGACTTCAATTTCTTCACGAAAATATCCAGACAAACATAAATCAAAAAGACAAAATTAAATCACTAGTTTCTCTCATCATCGCTCAACATAAAATAGAAATAAATTGGAATACGGTTTATTAACGTTGGACGCATGGATTCGTTTTTTTGAATGTTCTCTCATCTTGGGTATAAACTCGGGATAAAAAAATGGCAAGCACGTTCTGAAATTGAGAAAAATATAATATCAGAAAAAAATTGTTAATCCAGAATGCTTTTCAGGTGCAGCTAGGTTTAATAGTTGATCGACCTGAAACCGTGGTAATACAAACAACGGAAATACAGTTCGAAGGTTTTTTAAAAGTTCAAAAGTGTCTGCTTATTCATGGATCCTTAATTATAAAAACGGCAATATTACCCATAGCATAACTATCTAAGGATGCACAGGAATCAAGAAACAAAGACTTAAAAAAAAAATCGCAAGGATTTCTCCGCAAAAAATACAATGCATGTCTTTTGCAGACTTCTTTTTGCAAATCCTGCAATATCTTCACTTATAAAATTTCATGCAAAAGTCAGCAGAAGTTTTTCTTTCGGAAATTAACAAAAACTCTGAAACTTGTTCGTTTGTGATTTTATCAACAACATTCATTTGTGAAAGAATTTATCAACAATATTTCAGCAATAAATGATTCTGATGTTGAATGACCGTGGTAATTTAGATTTAAAATAATATAAATTAAACAATCATGATAAATGATGCAAACAAAACTTTTACTTTTTTAAAAAATGAATAAGTAGAATAAATAAAAAGTTTCACAAACTTTTTTAAAAATTTTTCTTTATAATAATACAGCTACATTAGTCTATTGAACTTAAATATGGAATTGAAATTAAATGGTTAAATTTCAAATAATTTTTTTTAAAACTTCGTCCTTTTGGATCAGCCATTATTGAATTTTGAAACAGCTATGTCAAATTCAAAGTTAGGGATTCAAAAAAATGCTACACGCAAATTTTCAAGAAGTAGCTCTAATCATTTTTTGACTTTTGGCCAGGTTTTTCAAATTTCCACCCATTGCGCGCACCATCAGGTGGTCTATAACAGCAGCTTAATAAAATACTTAAAATAGAATACTTAATAGAATACTTATAGAAAAGCACTTATCATTCCTAAAGTTATATACAATATGTTCCTTAACGTAAATAAGAACTCCTGAAACCCGTTTATTTTTTTGTCTTTCTAACAAAATTGTTTCGAAACCTGGAAGATGGAAAATAAAAATTATTTTTAAACCTTTCCAAAGAAATCCATGTTACTGTTAACCTAGGTCTGCCATACGTCCCGGTACACCGGCGGGACATGTCCCGGTTTTAAGAACCGCGTCTCAATGTCCTTGTGAAAGGATAATTTGTCCTTGTCGATTTAAAACTATTAGTCCTAATAAATAAATAACCCCAGTAATACACGCATTG